ATTATCACTCTATTGCAATTTACAGTTGTTCAGCATTTTACATGTAATCGTCCCCTTTCAGACTATACATTTCTGAGGTCAAGACCCTTTAAGAAATAGACATTTAGAAGTTGCTTAATAAGAGTTGCTTTTTGTTGTTGTTAAATAACAAAATTTTATTTATTTTTATTTATTTTATTTTTTATTAAGTTTTCAATTTTAATTCCAGTATAGTTAACATTCAATGTTGTATTAGTTTCAGGTGTACAATATAGTGATTCAACAATTCTATACATTACTCAGTGCTCATCATGATAAGTGTGCTCTCAGTCTCCTTCACCTTTTTCACCCATCCCCCACTTACCTCCCCTCTGGTAACTGTCAGTTTGTTCTCTGTACTTGAGTCTGTTTATTGGCTTGTCTCTCCCCCCGCCTTTTTTTTCCTTTGTTCATTTGTTTGGTTTCTTAAATTCCACATATGAGTGAAATCATATGGAATTTGTCTTTCTCTGACTGACTTATTTTGCTTAGCGTTATACTCTCTAGCTCCATCCATGTTGTTGCAAATGGCAAGATTTCATTCTTTTTTTTAGGGCTGAGGAATGTTCCATTGTAAGTAGGTACCACATCTTCTTTATCCATTCATCTGTCCATGGACACTTGGGCTGCTTCCATAATTTGACTATTGTAGATAATGCTGCAATAAACATAGGGGTGCATATATCCTTTTGAATTAGTACTTTTGTATTTGGGGGGTAAATACCAGATTGTGCGATTACTGGATTGTAGGGTAATTCTATTTTTAGCAATTCTTGAATGTATCAGTGCTTAATGGTTGGTTGGATGAGTATGTGGTTAGATGGATGGATGAAGCAGCATGACACAGTGGAAAGTGTGCCTTGCTTTACCATTGCCTGATTTGATAGAACTCATGAAATTACTAAACATAAATTGCCTTCTAAATGGTACTTAGACTATGTGATACCTCCCTTTCTAGTCTACTAGACTGAGCCCTTACTTTCCAGCCTTCTGGTACATACAGCTAGACCAACTCAGCTCCAACTTCACACTTGAGAACAGGCCCACCTCACACTGGGTGATATCACAGGCTACTGGGTTATGGTTCTTTAACTAAAAGTCAGCTATAGCTCCAACCTCAGTTTCCAATTTTGCCAAAGATGCTTAAGGAAGCTTTTTTTTTTTCTTTTCCTCTTTGATTTTTCTAGCCCTACCCAGCTCTTGGCTTGTGTTCTTCTGTGCCTGAGATTTCTCTTCTCAGGTCTCAGCTTCCCCATTTCTGACCTCCACTCATCTGCTTTTAAATTTATGCTCTTACTTCTGGATTTGATAGACACACTGGATTGTGAACTCTGTATGTATGTTTTGCTAATGGCATTTATATTCCATGTGTATTCCTCCTCTCTTAATAAAGGTACTAGAATATATCCTGGTGAATATCATTAATCCCCTAGAAGGAAGGAAAGTGGGAATAGCTGTTAGCTCTTCCTGGCAAGAAAAATGAAGTAAGAAATGGGGTATATAATTTAGTCTGATGACTGTAAAATGTGAACATTCATAGGAGATGGTGAAAATATTGGTAGAACTCTGTTAAAATTATAATATTTTACACTGAAATTCATTTAATATCATAATTGAAGGTTGTTTTAGAAATAAATGCTGTTTAAATGAAGATACCAAGAGTAACTGAAGGAGCCTCACCCCTGGTCATTGAGCTGTTGTTATAAAATCCTCTACATAACCTGGAATAATATGAAACTATGTTTTTAGCCACTCTCAATTCTCAGTTGCCAGCCTGCCTCCGTTAGTGAAGCTGAGGCACTTTTGAGCACTGAGGGGGAAGTGCTCAATGTCCAAGGCACATGGTCACTTTTCTAAGGCTGTTATTCCAGTGTTATAATAAAGGAAGAAAAACTGTGAGTAAACCCAAGAAGTCCCTAGTTCCAATCTAGCCTTTGAAATTGTATACAACATATAAAGGACATGTAAAAAAAAAAAGTCCTAGTGAGAAAGATGGGATGAGAACTAATGCTTTCCCCTGATGTAAGCCTACAGTTCCAAAGATTGAGCTCTACCTCAATGCTGTACTTCTGCCTCAACTCTCAAGGGACACCATTAACAAGCCATTATTTCCATTCTTTGAGCAACTGGGTTTTTGTCCTGAAATTGAGGTCCACATTCTCATTACTGGTTACATCCTGTCAGTAGTTTTTATATGCCCCATCAGCTGATAATATAACCAAATTCCTGCTTTCACTCTCTTAGATAGGCATTGTAGATGTTTGGTCTAGTTTTGTTGTTTGTGAATGGTACTCATGTCCTTCCTGCCTTCGTGCCATGTGTGTTAGCCTCTTATATTTGGGCTTGAATCATTCTGTTTCCATGTCCAAATTAATTGCTCCATCTCTTCACCCAACCCTGTGATAATCTGCTTCTCTTCCCTGTGCTTGCTTTCTTACCTGGTCAGCAACGGCCCTGAGATTTAGGTTTATGGCCTGATTTCTTTCTATAGAGGGTTAGTCATTTTAGAGAAACATAACTAAAATCCATCCTTTATTTTGTCCATTCATTTTTTTATGCGTATTTACTTGATATCATCCATGTGCCAGTCATTCTTTTATTTAGGCATGGGGATAATGGAAAACTTGCAGAGTGATGGAGGCATAAACCTGTGAGCTACTATTATTCATTAATTTTTGTAATACATATTAAATAGGTAACTCTGCGTTAGACAATATGTTTGGCATATTTTTGTGGATGCAAAAATGAATAAAACAGTTCCTGCCCTCGAATGACCTGAAAACAGATCTTTTAATATCATGTGACACGTCTGATGATAGAATTAAAGGGGGTAATATGGGGGCATGGATTGATACAATATGACACTGATGAGGTAGGAAGGAGTTTGTATGGTGCATTAAGAGGACTGGCCCTAAGGGAGATGCTAAAGCACAACTGTTTATTAACAAGGGAGTTAGGCATAGGGTATTTGAATTCAAATCCCCCCTCTACTTACTAACTCAGTGACCATGAGTGTGTGATTCTAAGTGAGGATTAATATATTTGTAAGATGTAGATTAAAAAAGAACTTATTTTTATAGGGTTGGTGTGAGGAATAAATGAGAGAATTCATCACATACTTAGCTTAATACCTGGCACATAGTTTACGCTCAGTGAGTATTCATCACTATTATTCTATAGGCATTGAGAGATTTCAGGAGGATTATATATATATTTTTTAAAGATTTTTTATTTATTTATTTGAGAGAGAGAGAATGAGAGACAGAGAGCACGAGAGGGAAGAGGGTCAGAGGGAGAAGCAGACTCCCTGCCGAGCAGGAAGCCCGATGTGGGACTCGATCCCAGGACTCCAGGATCATGACCTGAGCCGAAGGCAGTCGCTTAACCAACTGAGCCACCCAGGCGCCCGATTATATATTTTTTTTAAGTGAAGTATAATTGACACCCAAAGTTACGTTAGTGTCAGATGTACAACATAGTGATTCAACATCTCTCTATATATATGCTCACCACGAGGATAGCTACCATCTGCCACCATACAATGCTATTATAATACCTCTGACTTTATTCTTCCCTGCTTGGGAGGAGTTTAAGCAGAGGAACCATGTGACCAAAACTGTTTGAGAGAGAGCATAGTCAAAATTGTTTGAAAAATATGTGGTAAACCCATTGGCAGCATCTAGCATGAACCAATGCCTGTAGAAGAAGCTTATCCTGGAGTCAGAGCTGATGGATAAATAAGACCCTAGCTGTAGTGTGAAGGAAGATCACCCATGGAGACGGTATGGAGTAGACAGATCACTTGGCTGAAGATGGCATTGGGTGAAACACAAAAATATATGGGGTAATATAAGAAGAAGAAAAGTTTATGAATGGTCGTAGATGTGTTTGGTAACAAGCAACAAAATGGAGGCTTTGTCCTCCTGGTAAAGCCATGGGAAAGCGTTCCAGAGGGGACAAAGAGCTGGGTGTTAGGAAAGGAGTAGGAGCTCACCAGTTTAACCAGGTGGGAATAGGCATCGTGTGCTGAGAATAGCAAGTCCCAATACTGACAATTTCAGTGAGGCTAAAATATATGAAGCAGTAGATGAAGGATGTAAGACAATGCAATCAATGTCTCCATTAAATATTATAGTAAAGAGACCTCGCACTAATGGGTGCTCCACAGACATAGTGGCAGCTTTTGTTTGAGATCCGTCATTGGATTGTCAGAGGAAATGGTGCTGAGTCAGCAGAACCACAACCTGAAAATGGATGGGAAGAGAATGACCAGACTGCAGTTGTGGGCTTTTTTTTTTTTTAAGATTTATTCATTTGTTTGAGAGAGAGTGAAGGCATGCAAGTTGGGGGAGTGGCAGAAGGAGGATTTTTTTTTTAATTTTATTTTATTATGTTATGTTAGTTGCCATACATTACATCATTAGTTTTTGATGTAGTGTTCCATGATTCATTGTTTGCATATAACACCCAGTGCTCCATGCAGTACATGTCCTCTTTAATACCCATCACTGGGCTAACCAATCCCCCCACCCCCCTCCACTCTAGAGCCCTCAGTTTGTTTCTCAGAGTCCATAGTCTCTCATGGTTCAATTCCCCCTCCGATTCCCCCACACCCTTCATTTTTCCAGAAGGAGGAAATTTTCAAGCAGACTCTCTCTGAGCGGGGAGCCCAACACGGGGCTCCATCCCATGACCCAGGAGATCATGACCTGAGCCCAAACCAAGAGTCAGCCGCTTAACCAGCTGAGCCATGCAGGCACCCCAGTTGTGGGCTTCTTTGAGAGAGTTCATTATGTGTTGGTTGGTAAGTTAGGAATAAGGCTGAGCTGAAAGTTATTTCCAGAGTGCCATGAATTTCCAAAAACTGATGAGTCTCACCATATTCCTTAAGTCACAATAAAATTAAATAACAACTTGATTAACATGAGATCTAGTTATGCTATTAGAGAGAAATATAACCAACATTTTTCCCTTCTTTAAAGGATTTTCCAGAAAAGGAGAAGTCCACAGCAAAGGCCCTGGAAGATGTAAAGGCAAACTTTTACTGTGAATTATGTGACAAGCAGTATCACAAGCACCAGGAGTTTGACAATCATATTAATTCTTACGATCACGCTCATAAGCAGGTAAGCCGAAGTGTGGGAAATCCTTTTCATTCCTAGATTTATACCTTCAGAATAGAATGTATGCATTCGGCCTTATTTATTGTCATCTAAGATACTGAGGTGAAACTGTTTTATTTATTTATTTTTCTTCAAAGTTTGTTTTCTGTTTAAGTGTTAGGTGAAATATTTTTTTTCCTAGAAGTATCGTAAACCTGTAGGTGAATTTAAAGATGATCTAAAAGTAGACTGATATTTATTTGAGAATTTTACATATGGGGAAACCAGAACCCAGTAAAAAGAGTGTCACATTTAAAACCACCTAACTAGTCAGTGGCAGAACCAGAACACTGGACAGAATTGATTATAGGGTTCTTTCAAAACTTCTGAGGTTTAGGGAATCCTAGGACTGTGGGAAAAAATAAAGAATACCCTCTTAAGAGAGTCAAAATGGTTAACTTACTAGATGAACCATTGCAAATGAACAAACAAACAAAAATTCAGGGAGGCTAAGTTGAGAGGTAATTCAGATAGAAATGCTTCATTTCTTTTTCTTAAGAGGTCATATGTATACATTATCACTTTAGATAGTCTATACATGGCTGCTAATATTCTCTATTTCCATCTCTCTGTGAGAGAGGAGGCTGTTATTCTTATTCTGTTAGATTTTATCCTTGTTGCATGAGGTATGGAGATATTGGCCATTTAGGAATTGGGAGTGTTAAATACCCCTAAGAAAGAAATCCCACTTGGCCAGAGGATTATTGCTGCCAGCTGTGAGGAGGTACACACTCCTGATGCCAAACGGACCTGATATCTTGGAACGTGTGGGTAAGTCTTGTATAATCTAGACCTAAAATATTTATTCAGAGTGAACAACAATAAATATCTTGACTAACGTTGCCAGTATTTTCTGAGTGCATCCAAAATACTTGGCCTTGAGAGATGCAAGGAATCGGTTTCTATCTTTAAAGATGTAGCATGTATCGATAATTGGCCATATTTCTTGGACAAGAGGAAGGACCTGGGATAAACTGTTTTAGGACTGTGATTCCCAAATCTTAGTGTGCATCATAATCACTTTGGAACTGAATAACACAGATTCCCAGACTTTCCTTCCAGTATTGTAATTCAGTAGTTCTGAGGGGGCCCAAGAACTTGCATTTTAAAATGATACAAAATGGAACTTTCCAAGCATATTTAAAACTGAACTACATGGCTACCATCCAGCTCCAGCTTCGATCTCCTTTCCTTTCGACCCCCACCCCTCACCCCCCAACCCGCCGCCACCGTGTATTATTTTGAAGCAAATTCCAGGCATCATGTTATTTCTTCTGAAAGTGTTTCAAGATGGAGAATGGTGCTTACACAACATAGCCTCTGTCATAACTAAAAAGTAACAGTAGTATCTTAATATCAGTTGGTGATCTTTTTTCTTTAGTTGTCTCATAAATGATTTTTAAATTCGGGTTTCTTGAAATCAGGATCCAAAAACATCCACACTTTTGGTTGACACGTCTTTAAGATTCTTTTAATATGTATTTAAACTATAGGTTTTCCAGTTCCTTTTTACATTTGATTTCTTGCAATTTATCTGCTGAGAAAACTGGACATATTCAGGGTTTTGCTGAATGCAACCCAGTGCTGTCTTTTTTCATTTTCTGGGTCTTCTGTATTTCTTTTAAACCGATTGTTACGTATAGAGATCTGAACAAATTCCAGTTCATTTTTTTTCTTGGCAAAAATATATCACAAGGCATTTTGTATCCTTCCATAAAGAGGCATATGATGTTTAGTTGTCTCTATTTTTATGACTGTAAGTTTAAGAAATGGGTTTGGATGCTACCAGTTTGAACCATCCATCATTAAGTACATCACTTACATTTTTCCACTAATGTTTTTTGTAGCCATAGATGATCATTTGTTTAAACCCCTTACTTCATTTGGAGTTGTAAAATGATTCTATCATCCATTTGTCATTTATTAGATGAAATATGTCTATCAAGAGAAATTCCCTATAAGAATCACTCCCAGAGGATTTTATGTAGGTGGTCTTTAGGCCACATATATATAAATTCCCAGTATATATACATACAGTATATAAGTAACCAGAGAAGGTTCTCATGGGATAGCTACATTGATCTGTACTTTAAACATGCATAAGTAGATGTTGAAATGGAGGCTAAAGATGGGATGGCATCCTTGACCGTGGAAACACAAGAATCTAAGGCGAGGAAATAGAAGAACACAGGGCATCTTTTCAAAACTGTTGAAAGTGTTTGGACTATGAAGGGGATGAATTCTCCACACCTTATCTACATGCCACAGCCTCCCTTGTACTCTGAAATTCTGCCTGATCATTTCCCTTATTAGTTTCTCCAGTCTTATTTCCATTGGCTTTCCAACATGTTGGAAAAAACCACCTTTCCTCAATCCTTTTATTTCATCTGTGCATCTATTTCTGTTTTTTGTTTTTTGTTTTTTGTTTTTCCTGTAGGTTTACCAGCATTCTAACCTTCCTTGGTATGTTCCTTCATCAAACAGTGATTGAGTTTCAGCTATGTACTATTGTGCCAGTTGTGAAAAATGGACCAATTTGGTCTCTAACTTCAGGGAGCCTGCATTCTAACTGGGGAGACAGACATGTCAACCTACCTTTAAAATACATTGGTTTAAGTGTTCTAGAAACTGTATACCTAAGATACCAAGAAAATCTACAAAACTGATTTAAGAAAGAAGAGATGACAAGTGAGCTGGGATTTTTAAAGAATGAATAGAAATTAACCATAGTCAAGGATGGCAGGACATGTGGCAGTTATAAAGCATGAGTGGAACACAGAGAAACTGCCAAAGATTCATTATGGCCACTAAAGTCACCATCACTATCCTGAGGAGCTCTTTAAAAATCTTTGAAACTGTTTCTCGTTTCTCTCATTCTTCTTTTGCAATAGATCTTGCTCTCATTTTTCATTTTGCAATCTCTTTTCACCATTCATATTTAATCTCACTCTTGAATCTGCTAGGATCTTTGAACTGGACTCCCCACCTCCATTATTTTCCCTCCTCCAAACCAGGCTACCCATTTATAGCCAAATTAATCTTCTCAAACTATCACATTCAATGGGTGATGACTGACTTTTTCAAAAGTCTGAACTACTTAGTCCGTCAATTCAAAATGTCCACAGTCTGGCTCTTGCTTCCATTTCCAGATTTATCTCCTGCAACTCCAGAATTTCCCTACAGTTTCTCAAAAGATGCCTTATGCTTTCCCACCTGCTCATCTTGGCTCATAATCTTCCCTCTGCCTGGGATGCCCTCCCATCTCGTGGCTGTATTTCAACATATGCTCCTGTGTATTTAATGAATAGATTGACAACTTATATCTGGATATTCAAAGAGCTGAAATCTCATGGTAAGCGGATTTAATAGCATTTTCCAAATTCTCTTTGATCAAAACCTATTAACATTGTACAGAATTTTGTCCAAGCTGCCCGCTTTGGAAAACAATGGAATAATTAAAGTTGCTGTAGACCTTGGAAAATTGCTTTCTTGGGTAATGTTGAAATACTTTTATCTAAAGATTTCTTTTAGCCCAAAATTTTGACAATAACTTGAATTTTAAATGAAACTGAGTTTTATGTACAGAAAAAGGAAGTATGCACTAAAGTAAAACATGCATGTCTTTTTTTTTTTTTCAAATTCCAAAGCTAAATATGTCTATTTGGTTCTTGCTTCAGTAAGGGCTCTTCTTGATTGTGATGATGATTATAATGATAGTGGTGAGGATTTGGCTGAGAGCATTTTTTGGCCTGAGTAATATGAATAGCTTCTATAATTTTATTTTCCATGTGGATTCAGACAAAATATCTGGCCTCGTCTGTTGAACTTCCAACAAGATGGTCTTTTTGGTATACTTTGAAGTGAATCTAAATTCACATGAAATTAAGTCTGTTATTCATTAATAGAACAGCATAGAGCTGGAAGCAAAGGAATCTGAGTTCTTATAATTATTTAGGATCCTTCAGTTCAGTAAGTGATTTCTAAAGCTTTTATATTATCTTGTATCTAAATAGCAGTATCATGTGTTATTTTATTACAAAGACTATATTATGCAGAGATATATTGTAATTCTAGAGAAGTAAGCCAATACATAACTTTAAAGAATAAAGTAAAATAGTCCTAGATTCATAGCTTTAAATTAGTTCCATTTGGCATTTAATATTATTTTTCTATAATTTGATCAAAAATTAAGATATTTTTCTTAGGTATTATTGATAGAAAAGGATAGCTTATCAGTAAAAAAAAGCTGATATTTTTATATTTATTCAACAAGGGGAAAAATTAATTTCTAAAAGCTTTGACAACCCAACTCTCATATAACTCACGTTTTTGGAAATAACTCAAGTTATGTTAGCTATTGCTTTGAACTTCTTATAATTCCGTATAAATGTTGAGCATTACCACTAAAGCAAATTGAATGTATATACAAATTACAGTCACATGGATGAAGACAGCAGTGTAACTATTAATATAACTAACATGTTAATAACAACTAATTCCTTGTGAGACTATCTACAAGTCATAATTCCTTTCTCAAGATGGTGAACCGCAAGTGCATAATACTGAAATGAAAACCACACATCCTCACATGCAGCAAAAATCTCTCCTGCCCCAGAGGCATCCTGGCTCATCTCAATTTAGAAAAAACAAAGGAGCCTGATCCCCATACAAATAAGCCATAAAAATATCTTCAATAATAAAAAACAAATCCACTTTCAGATCCTCCACATGTGACATTTAATCCTCCTAATCTTCCTTTGCTTCACAATTGGATTTATTTTCACTCAGGAGGAGCTGTTCACTTGTCAAGCCTGAATTTGAACTCCAACGGATTCATTCTTAAAATATTGTTTTGGATTCTCCCCAACTCTACCTGCGCAGGATAAAAGAACAGAACAGAATCATTTTTGCCATCTTGTCTCCAAGAGGAAAAGACCCAAAACTGCTAAAGAAATTCAGTCCAG